CCTGCCTCTCACTCTAATCGTCTTTCTACCCCCACCATTGCCATCAGCGGTCCATTCTAGATGTCGATGCTCACATCTCAAAAAAGTCCTTATCTACCCACATCCAAGCATTTGTAACCCAGCATTCTCTTTTGCTTATATCTTAGATTGTAGTGTATCGATTTTAACTAATTTTTTTTTTAATCTATCGTTTGAAGATTGAAAAAAAGAATTTTTGAATTAGAAAGTCTAAAATGTCATAGCACAAAAGATATTTTGCAATAAATGAAAAGGGATCGGAAAAAACATCTGAACTACGAAAATCGGGGGATTACGCTAACCCTTTGTGGATACTGAGAGTTAAGACGTAATAAACTAATCATAAAGCTGTACTTAAGATGGTCTCAAAGAAGAATTGATTATATGAATATCAGCCAATGTCTCGCGTATTCTTTCATGTTTTCGAAATGAATTACTCAGAATCTAGTTGAAATGATTAGGATGGCAGTAGGAATATTCTTATATATTAAATGAGTAGGAAGATATAAACGCAAACAGTTTTAAGCGATTTACATTCACGAAGTTTTAAGTATATAAGTTAGCGATAAAATTCTCCTAATTCTTACAAGAATATATTACATATATATATATATATCTTAAGATTATTCTACGTTGTAAATATACAGGAATATGTATTTCTTGGGAGATTATCTTTTTCCGCTTGATGAAAGCTGTAGATAAAAAAATTGCAATGTTAATAAATCATAATTTTTCAATGAAATATATCTTCTTTCATACTGAAGAGAAATATAATTTACGTATGATACATTAGTAGCAACTTTACACACTTGGTTATAACGAAGATATTCACATTAAAACCATAGACATAGATTAGAATACTATGTTTATAATTGAATCGTTCTTCTTTTATCGAGAACGATTAAAATTCTGCTATGATCTATACGATAATATAATATGAGTGGTATGAACGCATGGCGTACAACTTTTCACAATCTTTCACGAAAATACAGTATTTTAATTAATCGCGCTTCTATATAATTTTTTCTACAAAATATAAAGCGAAATAAGCTGTTCAGTGTTTTCTAAAGATTGCATATATTTGATAACTTCCGAATTTGCATTTCATTAAAAAAAAGTAGATATCCATATTTATGTGTACATCCAATGATTTTAACGACCTATTCAATTAACAGGATTCACTATACATTATTTTATTTTCTTTTCTTTTATTTCGTACAATCGTCATAAGATTCTTCTATGAGAAAATAAGAATTACGACGATGCGATGGTGCAAAGCAAAACGCTATCAATTGTCACTGACGCTACGAGAATTCCATTTATTCGTTTACTAAGAGGCCCTTCTAAAGCAGCACCAAGCTCGTTGAATGCTGACGCTGAGTCTACAAGTTTTGTGATTGGAATTCTTGATAACCTTCGCATCACTTCTTTTTCTGACAGACGGCCGCGACATCGCGTCGCCTTGTTGCGCCCGCTCTCAGGTGTTGTCGCTTTCCTCGCAGTGCTCTATCAGGTCCACATCGCTTACCCTTGATTCTTTCTGTTCTTTAATGGCCTCCAGCTTATTCTCCTTATTTTGATGACTACTACTGCTATCACATTTCTCTGTGCTTTTATTCGTGCTTTTTTCAAATTCTTTTGATACCTCTCGAGTAGGAGACGGGAATCCCACGAGATCTGTATCTATGTTACTGTGCATCAGCGTGAATGGTAGCTTCAAAGATACTTCACCACCCATCACTGAGATAAACAGTTTGACCTTAAAGAAAAAAATGATAAACAATTGGGAATCTTCATAAAATATTTTTTGTAATACTCTGTAACAATTTCATACTATAATTAGATTGATAACTAAAATTAAATAGTTATCAATCCAAAATAAATCAATTTGCTTAAATTAAATGGATTTGGATCGACCAAAAAGATGTCTTATTTTTCCTTAAAATAATATTGCATCAATTAATGCAACAATACATGTTTTCGATAATGTCAAACTATACTTTATTTGTATTCATTTTTATCTGAAATAAAGCACACACACACACACACATCTAATATATCATATAATAAATTTTTTCCAGAATTTGTTCTTATAATCGAAAGTTTTCATTTTTTTTTTGCAATAGTTCAGGTTTTGCAATGTTTTAGGTGAAAATTATATATTTATTTTCTATAATAGGTTCATCTGACGATCTTTATTTCCTTTTTAATATTTAAAATTACCTTCACATAATAAGATACGTAAATCGTATAAACGTTCCTATCATCAGGTCCATTCCGAGGATTAGTAACCGTTGAGGCCAGACTTGCTCCGGTTTTCGCGTAGCTGTCCTCCAATGCGATCCAATTTTTAGTTGTGCCCTTAACAAGCCTGAGAGTGTAAATTTTTCGCAAATTACTACCTGGACCTACAGGACAATCCTCTTGCGAGCTTACAAAAGCTACAACATTCTTGAATTTGCCGTTGCTGAACATACAGACGTCCACATGTTGTACGACGATTACCTGTAAAGTAAACATTTCGTATGTTCGAAATGGCTAAGATTGAGTATCCAATTTAAAGTTTTTCTTTTAACTTGACGCACCCTGTATCTTTGAAACTAATTGTAAGTTGTTTCGGATACCTATATGGTCGTATAAAGTTATCTTGATGTGAATTAGTTGTTATCTTTTAGAGTATTTAATCTAAAACTATCATCCTATATGTACATATTTCTGAATTAGCATTTATGAAAGCCAGTTGTTATTCTGCGATGTCTATTATATCCATATATTGGCCACGAACTTAAATTTGATTACGAAATATAACTCGTGTGGCTTACAGGTGGTCAAGGAGTGTCGTTTTGTTTGCTTAACTGTTGGACAGAGTTAACATGATGGGGTTGCTCGCGCGCCTATCCTTTCTGGCTAGTGGACAGAATATCGGCAAGATGTACTGTGTTCCTATTTTCAAACAACGTTCTCCATTGCTGTTAATGAAGTAGCGCTCAAAAGCGATGTGAACACAATTTCCTGTCATGACGTAACCTTTGGCATCTCATCGGGTTGATTTCTCCTTGAGAGAAATTGCTATTCGTATTGCGAGCGTTCTCATAAGAAGAAAATGTCGAATAAATCAACGCAGATTATCACAGGCAGATTCAATTCGATATCATCGCCTTTTTGTCTTTTGCTTCTTGCATGTGCGCGAAACAAATTGAATTATAGATTTAACGGTGCGATGTTTTTTCTTATTTCTTGTCGTCGTTTTTTTCGATAGCTTCGTATGGAAATGGCTCTTGTCCATCGCTAGGAAAATATCGCCGATATCGTTTGTATGTTATTGTTTTTTTTTTTCATGGCAAGGTATATTAAAGAATCAATAGAATATTGTTATTCGTGTATCGATACATGATTGCTCCTATTAATAGGAATTCCGGTTTAATAGAATCTCTATTTAATCTATTTTGCTATTTTTTAAATGTTTTTTTAAGAGAAAAAACTAGCTACCTATTTGAGGTTTTAAAATTTTTCCAAGAAACTTATAACTTCGTTCTTAATTTTCAATTATTTCATCTAGTTGAATTGCGACGATGCTTAATGGTTTACTCACTCATGTATAGAATATTTAATTAGGCATCGGATAGAATGCTATGAATTCTTGAGTGAACAGACAGACGCAATCTCGTTATGCTTTCAAAACTTGTTTCTGCAACTTGTAGCATAAATCTT